TCTGACTAGAAGACTAATAGCTGTGACTGTAATATTGGGGGGAAAAAACCTTTTAGATTGTTTGAGTAACACAAACAGTGTTACGTAATAGGCATACCCTCCCCACCCCAAGTGCGGAGGGAAAAACGGAAGGAAGCAGGCCTGGGAAGGAAGGAAACGTCACTCCAGAAGGAGGAAACCGTTATTTATAGCATCGTCAAGACTGACTGACGTTATTCAGGCCGTTATTGAATAAGATAGAGCTTTTTAAAAAATTTGAAAGTGTGGATTGCCGCACACGGTGTTCAGGGTTTTTGAATGCCTGTATCTCGTTCAATATAAGCCCGATAAACACCGACCTTGAGTCGTTTTTAATTCTTGGTTTCCACAAAGCTGTGAGTCGCATCCTGTTTATCCCTTAATAGACAGACTCATACCCAGACCCCCTACGTTGGAAATTAGGCAATGCACATGTCCATATTGGACTGGGGGGTTTGACTTAACATGGCTGGCTTCTATGTCCGGCGTTGAAAATTCAAATGTAAGAAAATGTAGGACAAAATTTGGGCGAGAATTTCCAGAGGTGGAAGTAAAGGATGCTACGGTAAAACAAACTGAGAATAGATTTTGGTTTCATGCTAGCGTCCGCGGGGGCCTCCGTTTTCACTGGTATTCGGCGGGCGGGAGGAAACTGAGAGGCGAAAGGTTTGGGAACAGATTCTGCAAAAATTCAACTCCCAACATCCAAACAGAATCAACAGGGACACTGATCATATCCATTGAACAAATTTGGTGAGATTTGTTGGGAATATTAATCAGATTCAGACTTTTTATTTCTGTTTTTTGACAATGAATTCTATGAGAGCAGTTCAGCTAAGGAGTAAAGCTGAATGAATTAGAACTTGAATTAAAAAGACCGTCTGGTGTTTTGGCAAAGATGGAAACCAATTAAAATAGTACGGCCGGAGACAAGCGAGTATAAGAGAATATCAAAATATGAGGGAGACGGACATTCCTTGGCTTTTTTTATGTTGACCCGGCAACTTTCCAGATGCACTGGAAAGTTTGCGCTAACTAGTCTGTCCTCCAAGAGGAAAGTTGAGCACTAAATATACTAATATAGACGGTTTCACTTGCCAAGTACTACTTTCCAAGCCCACAATGGAAGCACGGCTCAACTCACGTGCTCCGAGGCATGTGTGTGCATGCGAGGGAAGCACAGATTTTGCGGCAGTTATATGCATGGGAAATAAATCAGTTCCCAGATCCAGTTAACCTGCTACCAGGCAATCCTTCTTCTCTTTTTCTTTCGGAGCCAGTGAAAGGAAAAAACAAACGTTTGCCCGTCCCTCTTCCCCTCCCCCCAAAGAAGACCCCCTTATCGCTTTTTAAGATACAGTCGCCCTACTGCGGTGTCTAGGTTTGAATTAATGAGAACGATGTTGAGTATACATGTTTTATTGTACTGAACTAATAGGACTTCAATGAATATCGCATTATATATTAAGCTTTTTCTACTTAAGCAATTGTTCTTATAGTTTCAACTGAAAACAGTTAAATACAATGTTAGCTTGAGTTTTAACTTGCCAGTTAAAACTCTATTGGTCTTGTCAATATCCTAATACATGTATACATTTTTTATTCGTTACGTACGAGTTCTAATATTATACCACTTAATTCGAACATTGAAGTGTGTGCAGCGCATGGGGTAGTAATTATGGGATCCATTTCCCTAACCGGGCAATTAATAATATTTATTTAAAGAGCAGTAAGGTCTATTAATTAGACCCTAGCGCACGTGCTGTTACAGAAAAACTAGAAGCTTTGATTTTTTATATATATGAGCTTATTGTTTACGCCAAAATATTGCATTAAAGGGGGGTATATCACGCCATTTGCTATCTTTCTCAAAAGCTAAAGTTTTTAACGCATCGATTCAACTAGCAAAATAATTGTCCAGTTTTATTCAGTTTAAGACCTTATTAAACCATTGGAACTGTTTCCCGTCGTCTGTTCTACGGATGGCAAGGATGGACATGGACTGGAACTTGAAGGAAATTTGGGTCAACTTTTATTGCTATATGCCCCAAAAAATCACCCAAAAAATATCGTGGCTACTGAAAGTTCCCTGGTGAAATTTGTCTGGTATCTTCTTCATAACTTCATAACTCTACACAGGAGCATTTGTTCATGTGTGGGTATAGGTACTAACTAATGACTTCAGCTAAGAATTGACATAAAACACAGCTATATCGTCGTGGCTAACCCCTTGAACCTCGATAGCATCCGCCTATTTGAAGCACTGCAATATAGTTTTTAGGTGGGTTTTAAACTTTGCAGGTGGTCAACTTTATAATTAAAGGGAGTGAAGCCCTGTGAGAGAGGAAGCAAATGAATGTCAATCAGTACATGGCATGTATCAGATATGACTCAGAAGATAGAAAAAAACCACCGTGAGGTCTCAAAGAGCTAGACGGGATCGCGAGAACCGATTTAAGTGCTGTTTATAAAAAGGGAGGAAGTTCCTAACACCATGAAGATCCTAGAAGGCGGAACAACTTTTCGTCAGGTTTGCATGCAGAAATTTCGGTCCGTGTGGTTACCACTGATTACCACATACAGAAGGGATTAAAGATAGCGGGCGACAATAACAAACATGCAATTTGCACCCCTCTGCTCTCTTTACTAGCATAAAATGTAAATTACTACTTTCCAGCAGCAGCTTGCAGAATCATCAGTGGTAAAGCCAAACGAAATTGTTCGCCTTTGTTGCCGTGATTACCCATGCACTGAACGACTCGCCGCCATTTTTGTCTGGTTTGTCCTTATCTTCCTCGTGCGAGGATCTTCCTCAGTATCCCCCAGCTTGGAAGATCCTAGCGCCAGGGACAAGTATACAACCCTTTGCGTGTAAACCAAATGCAGATAACCTATGGAACTATAATGATCTGCCCTCTAGGATATTCCGGCCCCGGAGGTAATCAGTCACTAAGAATAGTTGCCTCTAGCCCAGGGTTGTCACTAAGATTTCAAGTTTCCGGGTAAGTACAACAAGTAGGTGGGAAATTAAACAGCTAGGGGTTTCTTTGGGTTCTATTTTTCTTCTATTTTCCTTTGAAAGTAGCCAGGGGCCCACGTTCATAATAGGCGCGGGAAATCTCCGGCTCCCGCCTCTTATAATGGCAGCCCTGCTCTAGCCTGTTCCAGGTTCCAAGAAAGATACTAATAGGCAGTTTCTTGGAACCTGGAACAGCCTAGAGCAGGGTTGTCATTATAAGTCGTGGGAGCAGATCCAGCTAGAAGGGCTCAAATCATGATTGCATGTTTGTTACTGTCGCCCGCCATCTTTAATCCTTTTTTAGTAACCACAGGGACCGAAATTTCTGCATGCAAACCTGACGAAAAAGTTCTTCCGCCTTCTAGAATCTTCATGGTGTTAGGACTAACTTCCTCGCTATATATAAACAGCACTTAAATCGATTTTGAATTCGTGATCCTGTTTAGCTCTTTTTAGCAAATCACAGCGAAAAACCGTTGAGTGATGCCGGATCTCACAGTTCAGTGTAGACTTTGATCAGTACAATAACACGTGTGAGCGTTGAAGCAAAGAGGAAAATGGGAAGAATTACTTCGCCGATCGTAATTCGCGCGCTTCGTGTGCATTGTTTTTCTTTTTCTTTTTGTTTACTTTTCTTTTTTCTTCTTCTTCTTCTTCTCCTTTTTTTTTTTATTTGTGCACTCTCAAACGGAACCGTCAACTACGCAGGGTAAGAATCCTATTTTATTATTAAAATCATTATTTCATAATCACTATTTTTTTCAATACTTACTCGTTAGCTTAAATAATGACCGATTTTCTCCACATAAATCTCATATTTTGTCAGCTGTAGTACCTACGACGACTTTTATTTTATTTTTTATTTATTTTATTTTTTTACCTATTAAAAGCTCGTGCATTTTATATTTATACTTATTTTTGCTCAATAACCAGCTTCTCCGAAACTTTTTAATTCAAAGCCTTGGGCCCCGGAACCATATTGGAGATACGGCAAGTAAGGTTAAGTTATTAATAATAATAACAATAGTAATCATAATCATAATCATAATCATAATCATAATCATAATCATAATCATAATAATAATAATAATAATAATAATAATAATCATGGCAATAATAATAATAATTTTTTTTTCATTTTATTATAATAATTTTACCGTGTCAATAACGATTTCGCAAATGCATTCCTTGCGGCTGAGATGCGGTCAATAACTCTTGCATGTAGTCTAGAGTTTTAAATTAAGTCATTACAAAAGAGACTTATCCGTCTCTGATATCAAAAAGAAAACAAATTTAAAAAAATAAAATCTGGTATTCCTAAATTCCTAATTCTTTAAAAAGTTCTTTAAATAATAATAATAATAATAATAATAATAATGATAATTATTATTATTATTATTATTATTATTATTATCATTATTATTATCCAGGGAGCCCTCCCGCTTCAGCGGTTTTCAGTGGGGCTCTGCAAATAATAGCTAACAATAAATGAGAAAAAATATATGCTAAATCACCTACTTGAAAACTAGGAAAATAGATAAAAATCGATATTTACCTGTAAAACAAATTTTAAAATAGTTTAGAGGCTTGAAAAATGAAAGTTTGCTTGCCCCAATAAAATGGGTGCGCTATTTCGCATCATGATTTGGAATCTTGTAGTTTAAAAGAAGACATTTAGAAAATATGAATCTCACTTTGACGTCAAAAAGATTGCTTATTTCGCCTCATTCTCCCCTCCCCTACCTACGGAGAGCACTGGATTTGTGATACCCCCCGGCAAAGTCCCCATGATCCCTTGTGAACAGTATCGATTGGCATGCCGGGAATTTTTAAGGCGCCATTTTGATGTGTGGTTTCTGTTTGTGAGAAAGTGTGGGAACCGATCTTCTTCCGTATTGTTTGGCTGTCTGACTGAAGGCGAAGACTTGTTTCTTGAGTAGTTTTGATTTGCTCGTGTGTATCGTCCAATACGAAACTTCCTGTGGCTCATCTGTCTGTCGCTATGAGTTGTGACGAGAAGAATAACAAGCGAAGGAAGAAGCGTTCGAAGCAGAGTTCGGAAGCGAATTCGCACGCTCCGAAATCAGTCGAAAATCGTGAGGTATGTAGGCCGAACATTAAGCACACGCAATGCAGTTTTCACTAAAAAAAAAAAGGATCAACACTATCAGAAGTGGGTTTCAGGTGATGTACATCTGTTGTTTTGACGGTAATTTTCTATTTCCGTCTAGCTTTAGTCTTGGCCTTGGTGGTTTGCTCAAAATGGAATGTTTGTTTTTCACTTAGACGTCTTTCATGTTAGTTGCATGGCTTTGAAATGGGTTCCATTTCTATCTATTTACCTCCATTAAACACGACATAAATTATAAAGCGATGATTTTGCTTGGTTTCGTTTCGGCCATCGCGAAAAGAAGGATTTTTGTTTCGCTTCAACAGACACTGCCATTTAGTTGGGTTTCTGGCATCGAGTCATTATTTTCAGACTTTCATATCGCATGTTTAGACGAGGTGTCATGGAGGTTATTTATCACTTAGCAGCGTGTTTAGCTGGTAAAGTAAAGAACACTGTTGTTCCCTTTGATAATGATTCTCTGTTATAAACTTTTTTGTTGTAAAGATATTTCCAGTTTAATGACCGACGTAATTAGAAATAACAGTTGGTAGAAGACACGAATTCCAGCGATCATGTAATGCTGGTGTTCTGTGAACACATTCCATAACAGATTTTTAACATCTATCTCGATTGTGAATTTGAAAATATTATTACCCCCATTATATTAACTGGCGGAATTATTTTATATGAGATGTGAAATTGATATTTCACTTAGAGATACGATCTGAACCTTCTGTTTTCACCGTATTTGCATGCTTCAAGAAGTTGTCATTGCTTGTGAAGCCATTGAGCTAATTTATTTTTAAATGGTCTACGTTGTTTACCTATAAAGAGAGACAAAGTTTATAACTTATAAACACAGTCTTCAGAAGTCTTCCTCTTGTAACAAGGTAATGTCTGTTTTATGCACTTGCTTTTGTGTCAATCTCCTTTCAATTTTACTGAAGTGGACAGAATTGGGCCACTGATTGTTATTTGTTATCGTTCTTTTATACTTTGTAAGTCAGTGAAATTTGACTTTGCTTTTGTTTCATGATATTAGGGAGGAAAAGCGGTTCAAACTCATGTCAACTCCTCAGACGTTAAACTTTCTCAGGTCAGTACTGTTCCATTTAGAGCCAAGTTGTTTTGACCCTTTCTTTCTTGTTCATGTCAAAACAATCTTCAAATAAGCAAAATTGTTTCATAAACATTGCATTTATGCCTTGTATTTTTTTGTATTTTGTGGGAACTAGATTATTGCAATTGGTCCGGTGTGATTACTATGATATCTTCCTGTGACAAGCTGCATCCTCTAGAAACAGTCACGGTTATGTGTACAGACCTTAAACCATTTGCCCCCTGGAGATTTTGCCGAAAAAAGCGTTTTAAAGCTAGTTGAGGGGTTTTCTGTTCACTGTCATTCTATAGGAGGGGGACATTGGGGATTTGCGGTGTTGCGGTGTTGGGCATTTTTTCATGCGGTGTTGCGGTGAATAAAATCTCAGCTTGCGGTGTTGCGGTGTTCTTAAACCTCACGGTGTGCGATGTTTGCGTCTTAAAGTCTGCGGTGTTCGGTGAAACGAAGTTATCTGCGGTGTCGCAGTTTCCATTTTGAAGCCTGTCAGTTCTAAATTTAGCCTCCATCATGTTTGATTTGAAATAAAATACACTCTAAGGGTCCTCTAATACTCTCTAGTTAATATTAAATACGCTGCCCGTCACCAATCCTAAGCCTGTTTTTCATTTATATTAAGTAACTTGATAAGCAACGTGACCTTCGCGACCCGGATCGCCACATGTACGTCCGTCAGGCAAGATGAGCGAAAACCTTGCGACTGACGCAGCTGATCCTGTCGATCCTGAATGCGTAGTTCATTGCGTAGCTTTTTTTTAAGAGGAGGGCAAAGGTGGAGAAGACTATAGGTGGAAAAACAAATTTCGATGCTCCATAAACAAGGAGGAAAAGAGACTCGCGAAGTTTGTAGAATGCATTTGGTAAGTAACACGCATTGTCTCTGTATCTGAATATCGTAGCTAGTCTGATACGTCAAATACTACGTACTTTTCCTATTTCCCCGACTACTAGCACAACTGGCCGCCATCTTGGATTTAAGCGTGACTACAACTACCATACTGCCTTTCGGGCGTGTTACGTCATCATGCATACGGTCTATTGCCTGAGTACCCATAGTTAAAAGGTTTCAAAGCCTGAAACTTAAATATTCAAGAAAGGAGACTGGGAGTATTTTTCTGTGACAATGTAAATTAATTTCAGGACAAGCGACTCTCCGGAAATATTCTTGTAGCACGAGGCAGCGGTAATTTTCCCGTTCAAGTTCATAGATCTTCTAGGATTCTAGAGTCAAAGTGTACGTAACAACCAAGATCGAAAGGCATAGGCAGAGTAACTACAGCTTTGGCCTCGTTATGTGTTGTTTCAGAGATTTTCTTAAGGTCAAAGGCAAAATCTTGAAAGCTTTATCTTGTACTGACGCTAAAATCATCAGACTGAAAATAGATATTGCGGTGACGGTGATCCAGCGACTTTTCTTGCGGTGATGCGGTGTTCGGCAAAATTTTTTGCGGTGTTGCGGTGTTCAGACCCCCCCAATGTCCCCCTCCTATAGAGAGCTGAAATTTACCACAAAGCCATTTACAGATCGTACGTGCACTTCACGACCTTCTGATCCAGATGCAAAGTATTAGCTTGTGAAGTTCAGGCATGCATGGAAAGCAAAATGTCGACACAGCAGCATGTTTTTGTGACACAGCAGTCTTGAATTTTACTTTTCGCTTTCTCTCCTCAACTCTTTTTTCAGTTTTCTCGCCTCAATTTCTTTCTCTTTTGCTGGGTATTTGGTAGGCTTCATTTTGGTGGGAAAAGTTGTTAGGAAAGCTATTAGGATCTTGGGATTAGATGAAAGGAAAGGTGGATGGGAAGTGGGACAAGACTTTCATGGAAATTTTCAGGTCAATGTTACATGGTTTTTTGCATTTTTTCTGGTCTCCTTCGCTGAATTGTGCTTATTCTGCCATGGTTTGAAAGATCTCTTCACTCTGCTCAAGTTAGTTGACAAAGTTGTCCTTGGCCATTAAAACTGATGATGTCACAAGGGGTAGAAAGGACAGAGATCCGCATGGGCGGTTACATGTGTCTCAGGGGCAAATGGGTTAAGGTTGTAACTCAAACACAAATCGTTAGTTTCATAATTAGATTAGATTGTAGAATTGACAGGGAAATTCCAGAGCAAGAATGTGCTGATCGTGGTATCCACCAGGCAGTCTTAAGTCTACCCTGCGAGCAGAGGTTTCTTTTTGGCATAGTTTTTAGCATTTGTAAAGTCATTCACATGGCTTGTCAGACACTTAGTTGATTTGTTTACGCTCCAAGAGAAACCTCTGCAGCAAGCCATCTGTAGTTTTCATAGTTAACTCATTGTCTATAGGGATAATGACACAAATTTCATCAACTGGAAGAAATACAATGCAATCAAAAAGTACTTTTGCTTGTTCCATTTCTGGACAAGTAGTCCAGGTCGTATTTTCAAACAACGAAATATACGTGTACATGTAGATAATTTAANGCTGAATTGTGCTTATTCTGCCATGGTTTGAAAGATCTCTTCACTCTGCTCAAGTTAGTTTACAAAGTTGTCCTTGGCCATTAAAACTGATGATGTCACAAGGGGTAGAAAGGACAGAGATCCGCATGGGCGGTTACATGTGTCTCAGGGGCAAATGGGTTAAGGTTGTAACTCAAACACAAATCGTTAGTTTCATAATTAGATTAGATTGTAGAATTGACAGGGAAATTCCAGAGCAAGAATGTGCTGATCGTGGTATCCACCAGGCAGTCTTAAGTCTACCCTGCGAGCAGAGGTTTCTTTTTGGCATAGTTTTTAGCATTTGTAAAGTCATTCACATGGCTTGTCAGACACTTAGTTGATTTGTTTACGCTCCAAGAGAAACCTCTGCAGCAAGCCATCTGTAGTTTTCATAGTTAACTCATTGTCTATAGGGATAATGACACAAATTTCATCAACTGGAAGAAATACAATGCAATCAAAAAGTACTTTTGCTTGTTCCATTTCTGGACAAGTAGTCCAGGTCGTATTTTCAAACAACGAAATATACGTGTACATGTAGATAATTTAATCGCTTTATCCAAACTTTTCTCACTGATTTCACAATATTCTCTGGACAAGACTATATATGGAATAATTATTCTTGGGGGAACTTAACTGCTTTTTAATAACAAGCTCTTTCAGCTAAAGTACATTTTATTTCTGGAGTGTGGAGAAAGCAGTAAAACATATAAATTTCGTGTCTGCCACCAAGATTTTGGAGGTGTTTAAAGAGCATGCTCAATAGAAACCACAGACAGCTCGCTGCAGAGGTTTCTCGCGGGACGTAAACAAATTAACCACGTCACTTTCAAGCCACTTGAACAACTTTACAAATGCTAAAAGCCATACCAGAAAGAAACCTCTGCATGCAGTTTATCTTGAGTCACATGGCTACAGTATTTAACCCTAAATAATATGACATGGTATCCTGAGTACAGTCAGGGCTGTTTTAATAATTAGTATTAGATCAACTCTGCCTGACAAAGTGAAATAATTCTAACACTCATCATTAATTATCATTAGAAATACGTTATCACAAAAATCTCACAAAACTAAAAAGGGTCATGCAGTGAGAATAAACAGAAACAAGCCACAGAGTAAAATTTATACGATGAAAGAAAAAAATAACAACTGGAGGTAGACCTGCCAGGATTTGAACTTGCACCCCAGCTTACTCCAGTGCAAAAAGTGATGCCTCATACTACGGGGCCATGGGACCACTGCACAGTTTTTTTCTTAAAATTAATACAAGTGAAGTATTTTTCTCTGCCATTCACACTGTTTGAACCTTGTGAAGCTGTATTTATCATGAATTCAAAGATACATTGGAGGAAAAATGGCTTAAATGAGTATTTCAAAACCATTTTGCATTCACTCACGGGCTTTATATACATGTATGCTGCTCGATGAACACACTAGTCTTCATCTTCGCTGCTCTCGCTGAAGTTCAGGTTGCCATTTTTTCAGTGTTTAAAAATCTTCCACAGCAAGAATCTCCAGCCACTTATCCACTCAGTCTCTGTTGTGTTTGCAGCCCACTGTTATTTGCCTCAGAAATAGTTTGCAATTCACCAGGCGATTTGCCAACATACAGTAAACAGAGGATAAATAAAATTAGTCCTAGTCAGTGGCCGTGTTGCCTGGAAACCCAAAATGCACGATGATGTCAGGCTGAATGGCATCTTTAGGATTTGTTTATGGCTTGTTGCTAGGCAACTTCAGATACCAAACTGATAGAAAGAAAGATATATGACCAAAGCAAAAATCGCACTCCGCTTGCAATTCTCGTGCAACAAAATTATAAACTGGCCCCGCGAGAATGATAAATAAATTAATTATTTCTTGATGTAACCATTTAATGAATGGAAATAACTCAATTATTAATCCTGCTTGTCAAAATGTTTTGGGGGGCTAATCAACTGATTCTTGGAGTAGTATTATGCTACCTACACCTTGCCTTTAGGCAAGCTGTTAAACTAACTTTCTGTGTACCTTGAGTCCTGTGGCCCATTTCTCTAAAGTCCCTTTAACTTTAATCAGATTCTAAAGAATAAAATAGCAGTTTCTAGCTAACAAACCAGTCCATTTCATTTTGTTAACTGATAGTTTATCATGTTATTTGTCAAAACTGTCATTAACTATCAGGACTTTTGAGAAATAGGCCACTTCTATTCTTTTAAATAAACTCCATGTACAGTCATTGTACATGATGCATTAAATGCTAAGAATGATTGCATTTCTTATAAAGCTCTTTCCTTTTTTTGTCAGCAGATCCTGTACAATTCAACTCCAAAATCTGACAATGCGCCTAAAGCTGGAACACCATGTATTGATGGTGAAAGATGCCTTCTTTGTCACAAAGAACGTTATGACAAGCTCAAGAAAGGTGTGAAAGCTGTTTTGTTATTTTCCTCTCTAAAAAGTGTTTAAAGCATTACATTGTTCAGACAGAATAACAGTAAAGTTGCAATGTTTGTTTGACATTGCTGTCTGTTGTTTTGTTTGGCAATATAATAGGATAGCTATTAGGATAGTGTTTGGGTAAATCAGTAATAAACCTGGAAATCCAGGACTATATCGAATTCTACCCTAGCTTTTTCCAAGATCATAAAGTTCTTGAAAATGACAGCAGGTTGTTGGAAAGTCCTTGATGCTGATGATGTTTCACCACCCAGACTTAGGTAGTGCTTTTCATTGGTTGAAGCAAATTTCCCGTGTGGCATGACTATTCAGAAGCACTACCCAGATCTGGGTAGTGACACTCCATTAGTAGGGAATTTCTGCTCTCGTTCATCAGGCGTCATTTCACAGGGAAACTAGATTATCAATTTCCTTGTTCTCCTAGCCCTAATTAATAGGAATAATTAGTGCTACGAGACAAAGGAAATAGAGAACCAACCTAGGCTGAAAAATTTTAACCTGAATTTAATTTTGACCTGTAACATAGACAGAAGGTTATTACATCCATGTACATGTCATCCCTTGGCTTCTGCCAGTACTGTGTTTTTATAATTTGTGTATAGTGTAGGGTTGATGCCCTGGCATAGATATGTAAAAGTTCATGTATTTTCTCTTTAACCTCAGGTGAACTCAAGTCTCTATCTTCTAATTCAACTGAAACCCTCGTATCACAGGTGAGATTCTACATTTTTGTATCTTCTTTATAAAGCTCTCCAGGGGAGTTACTGTACATGATTACTAATAACAAGTCAGTGAAATGCTTGTAGCAAAATTTCATACAGCATCCTTCAGGGTTTTCCGGTACATGCAAATACGCGTCAGAAACGCGTTGTTTAGCTGAAAAAGAAAAAAAAGGACTCAAAACACCAAAGAGAACCGGTCCTCTCGGACACACATGATCTAGAGCGATAGTTTACTAATAGTTTAGAACTGCGTAGATCTGCCAAAAACCTTTTTTGAGAATAAAATAACATTATAAAGACTTTTGAATCTTGTTCTTTTGTCTGACTCCTTTTTAAAACTAAAAAGAACCATACTCACATTGAATGGTTCTCAGGCTTTCTTTTTTGATGTTCCGATCGGGGAACCACGTTGAAACTCCTTGTAGAGGCTTGGGAACTATTGTTTCATTGTGAGGCATTCTGGAAGAGAAAGGGAGTTGAAAAAACATAGCAGATTCGGAATCACAGCCAGGTGAGCCCGTTAAGAAAAAGAGGCGTTTTCTGCTTGGTTGAAAGAATTTATATGGTTGCGATATCTGTAAGTCAACAGGTGAGAGAAACCCTCTCACAACTATAGTCTGTCATAATCTTCAGAAGTCGGCCCTGGAAACATGTGGAAAGGCACTAAAATTCTAAAGATCACATTTTGAGTATCAGTGACCTCAAGCGTAGAAAAAGCTTTCAAGCAACAGTTTCAAATGTAAAGAAGAACATTGACAATCAAACCCTGGAAATTACAAGGAGGCACATTGTTCAGCTTAAAACAGTGTATCTTATGACTACACATAAGAACAATATTGTGTGGTTCCAGAAAATATCCAGACCTCCACCACGGAGGGAATTGGAAATTCCAGGGGGGTGGGGGGGTCAGAGGCCCAGGAAATTCCAGAGGGGAGGGTGGTTGGGCGTTAAAATCACTTTCCGGGGGTAAATATCATTTCATTTTCGACCTGAGTTCGAACATTGCTTCTTACCGAACTGTTAGATCATTTTTAGAACATAAATAACTTGAAATTTTTCATTTAAGATTGTTCCTTTTGATCTTAACCAGGTTTCCTTTCTTCCAAAAGCGTTTTGGATGTAATTTCAAAGGAATTTGACCAACTAGAACTGGTTTTATCGTATGCTCGTATATTCGGCCGCCATTACTCGTTACCAGTCTCCCTTAAGACATCAACGCGTGCAACACATCACGTTGCGTCAGTCGATCGATGGAAGAACCGTAGAGTGGCAATTTTACTTCACGAAGTACAAACTATACATTGTAACCACTTTAGAATGTAGAGTTTTTATTCTCCTTTTCATTTTCCCGTAATTTTGTGGTTGAAGATGTGGCATGTTCATGATCGAATTCTCGCTCGCTGAAATGGTGTTGATTTCAGCAAACATTACGGCCATCGCGCATAATGCACGTCGCATCAGTCGATCGGAAAACAGTAAATTGAACTTGGTTTTCCTTCAAGATGCAGGGGGTCTTCATTGTTATGATTTCAGAAGTCAGAGTTTTTATTCTTCTCTTTGTTTTGCCTTAATTTTGGGGTTGAAAGTTTGACTTGTTCACCATATAGCATTCCTGCACGACTCTTTAATTCTACCAACATTACGCCTACCTTACGCCCATGAAGACAAATAACAAATCAAAACCATGCCTTGATTAAGGTAAATTCATAAATACAACCGACTTGTAACTTTATCTATTTCATTTAAAGTTAGGGATGAGCAAAAACTGCAGATTAGGTTACTTTGTGGTGGTGTAGTGAGTTTTAATGTTGCGAGATAACTCAAATAAATAGAAACAGAAGCACACAAGCTTCTGATGGAAACCGTTACGTACTAACAATAAAATGCCTCATTCTTTTACTTTTTAAAAAATAGTCTTTCTTCGTGAAAATGAACTTTTCCAGAGGGGTTGGGGGTCTTTGTCACACTTGTGAAAATTCCGGAGGGGTGGGGGGGCCATCAGTTTCCTGCAAAAATGGCAAATCCAGGGGGGTGGGGGGGTCCTAAGTGAGATTCCCTCCGTGGTGGGGGTCTGGATATTTTCTGGAACTACACATTGCTGCTGATAACTTTATTCCAATAATGGAACTTCAGGCTGTGAACGGTTGTAGTGATGTTTCTGTTTATACAAGAAACCCAAAAATGTTTCAGAGATTTCCTGGAATTTGAAACAATGCTAATGTTAGGACTCCCACTGTTCCCTCTGGGACCCTCAACCTTTGGTTAAAGGAGTCTAAGGGACTCCAAGAGGATTTAATATTGAGGGAAAACCCTGATCCTTTTTTTGTTTTTGTTTTTTTTTTTGGCTAAAAGGAAACAGAAATGACTGCTTTGCGTTAAAAAATGGGGAGTTGCATGACAGTTGCATGACTTTGCAACTGGTGTCCCAGATTACTTTTTTGTGAGTTCTTGACTTGAAAAAAAGGGAAATGCAGGCTTTTTCGCCATTGTAAATGTTTTTGATACATTTTCTCATGTTTGAACCTTGGCTCACACCCTGGCTCACATGACTCGCTTGGCACGCAACCTGACTCGCATATGAGGGAAAGTCAGTGGATGCAGTCGACATACAAATTCTTCACCATCTATGATCTAAAAACGAGGTGTATCTATATACAGCTGTATGATCCACGAGGTCTTCAGTTTCTAGGTCGTCGCTTTCCTAGTTGCGAAAACATCCGTTTCTCCTTGCTCTTCGCCGCTGGGGACGTTTCGCGAGGAGGAACGTCTGCGACTCAGCGACAGAAATTCCATACTGATGACGTAAAATATGTCCAGAATCTGGTCAGAAGCCCTGATTGGTCGACAGAGTAGTCACATTTTGTTAGCTATTGTTTACGAATGACAGACAAAAGACAAAAGGCCACAAAGGTCAAATGTAAACGCGATGAATCTCTAACAAAACAGTCAATATTTGTGGAATATAGTCTTCTCTACAACAAGCATTTGAGTTTTGCTGGAGCTCGTTCGTAGATGAACACAACACTTTACCAAAATCCATCAGTAGAAACCTAAAATTGAATAAATTTACATTTGGAACCCCACAACTACCGGATTTATTAAGTAAACATTGATTTGCGTCATCAGTATGGAATTTCTGTCGCTGAGTCGCAGACGTTCCTCCGCGCGAAACGTCCCCAGCGGCGAAGAGTGAGGAGAAACGGATGTTTTTGAGGGCTATCGCCTTCCATGTCTATGTTTTCTAGGTTTTCGTTTTTTAGGTCTTCTCTCTTCAGTCTTCCTTTTCTAGGTCTTTGTTTTCCAGACACTCCCTACTTATGTACTTGTAGTACATTTTTTATTTACCCAGCAACTACAACCTGTTGACCCTCAATTTTTGGGTTAATGGTCAGCCATATAATAATTCCAGGAATAATTGCGGGCAAGCAAAAGTGAGCCCACAGACTATTCTTGGTCAGCAGCACTTTATAAATATGTCATGTTTACCCACACTTCTAACCATCAGTTACTGTTAGTGTGCGTAATTAGTCATGGATTTTCCGTTGCAATGGTAGTCTACAGTGTATGCATGTACATGTGTACTGTATCCTACTGTGATCGGACATATCATTCTAAATCAGTAGCAAGTACATGTATGACTTGTATGTATGTAGCTTTCTTAATTATGCCAGAGTGTTTTGTACATGTAGGTACCCCTTTGGGTGTGTCCTGACTGCAGGAGAAACATTGAAGAAGAGGAGCGTCGTGCAGCTCTGGAGCCTTCATCACCATCAAATTTACAGGTGCACTATACCAGCCCTAAATTTATTTCAAAAGACAACTTCCCTTTCATTTTTTTGGGAGCTGTAAAAATCTGTAGAGTACAATAAATCATTACAAAGTGTTTAAACAATATTATTATGATCCTTGTTATGATGATGATAATGGTTTTTGTTATTAATATCCCTAATTAATTATTGTGTTGTAATAGCTTGAGGTAACACACTCAATTTCATTCTTCATTGTTGAGTGATCCTCATTAACTTTGAAGATCAGCATCTTTAAGTATTAATACAGTGGAATTATTATGAATGTTGTCAAGTGTAAATGCTGAGTTACAAAAGGCAGGGTTGTCACTAAGATTTCAAGTTGCCGGGTATTTTTAATGTAAGTAGCAGGGGAAGTCACAAGCAGTCATGGACGCTGAATGTACGAAAAAGCATCGTAAACATAACGTTACTATGGTTTGTTGAAAAATAAAAGTATAATACGGCGAAAAATCGCGGGATAAAATATGGCAAAACTAAACTGCACAACTGGTAACATTAGTGGTCTCGAATTTAGGAACAACACATCACTTAACATACAAAGAAACTGACCAACTTCTTCTCTGATGTCAACAGAGATCTGCTCAGGTCTTTCATCGTGAACAAAGAGTGCTTTGCTACTTATTCGACATGCTCAACACAAAGCCGACACAACGGTTGAAACTAAGGAATTTTATCATCGACAAAGGTGACGGCAGCAAAAATGTCACTTTTAAAATGAATTGGCATTTTTCCAACTTTGTCGCGTTTATTTCAATTCGCTGAAAATAGCTATGTAGGCCAATTTCCCAGGAGTTGAGTCTTTGGGACCGCACTCTGGTTTAGAAAGAGAAAGAAAAGTTTGTCGTCGCTTGTTTACGTCCTCCATAAAATGTGAAACTAGGCATTTTCACGTCGTAGTCATGCAGTAATGGCAAAGAAATGTACAAAAAAGCATGATGCACGTGCAAACTAGTTGTTTTACTCAAGTCAGATGTCTTTTTCCGACATTTCATAGTTTTTGTATGTGAGTATTTCAAAATTACTTAAACCTGCTGCCGATGAAACTTGCATTTAGTTTGATGGATAGTCTTTGAGTGTTTCAAAGGTGTGCTCTTTTGGTTTAATTTAACATGAAAGTAGCCGGGGTAAATCCCCGGCCCCCGGCCCTTAGTGACAACCCTGAAAAGGGTACCTGATCTTGTTCACATTTGCAAAGTGAGGTTTCTCCATGAACACTTCATATTACCGGTACTATTTTGTGCACTAGTCCACTGAATGTGTACTTGTATAAAAATTATGTATGTACTGCTTTATAACACAGTTTTGTTTTTAAACAACAGGATTTAAAGCAGAAACCAACCTTGAATCTCACCCTCTCTATAACTACTAAGCCTAATGGTCAGGAGGCGAAGTCTCATTGCCAGAGCTGTAACAGAAGGTATACATGTACATGTATATAAATTGTTGTTATTGTAGATATTTAGCTCAAGTGAAGCATTCCCAGTGGTACATTTAAATGCTGAGTTTCCTTTTGGCGCCCTTCACTGATAAAAAGTTCACCAAAGATACATTGTAACACCTGTTTTAACACAGTCATTCTCATACAGTGCATAATTATGCCAACTCTCCCAGATTGTCCGGGAGTCTCCCAGATATGGCACTGATCTCCCGCTCTCTCATACAGGCCACCAAATCTCTCAGATAAAATGGACTTTTGCGCTTTTCTGTGCTTTAGTTGAAAGTAAACCCATTTTTTTCACAACATTTGAACTTTTTTTTATTCATTGTACGGTTTCTGGGACATTTTTGCATGTATTTAGTCACTGACAAAGATTATTTCATCATTGCAACAATGAAAGCAAATTTTGATAGCATGTACTTCATAAGACTCCATATACATGTAATGTTTTAAGCCATGGTGGTTGGGTCAATATTGTTGGGGGGGGGAGTGGTGGGGTTGTTGACATTCAAGGGGGAGTGTAGTACCAAAAAAAAGACCCCAGATATTAGATCTCCAGAGGTTGACATCTCTGCATTTTTGTATTCTAAATATAACATTGTCATTTTGCCAACTCTACTGGATATTGTCGGAGCCTCCTAGATACGAGTACATGTACTGTGGAAATTTCCCAGTGTTACTTGCCAATGTCCAAAAGTGACTTTTGCTCTTTTTAAAAAATGCTTAAGTTTGAAATTTAGCGTATTGTCCCTTCAAATTCAAAAATGTTTTTCATCGTCTTACAATTTCTGCACTGTATTTGCACATACACTGTACATTGTATTAACTACTGAGAAGACTTTGTCGTGAAAGCAAATGCTGTTATGGTCTGTAAATTTTGTACCTCATGGAAAATGTCACAAGACACTCCTATGTTATGATTTTGGGACTGGGATGAGGCTTGTGAGGGGGTTAGCATTAAGTAACATCGGCTGAAAGCAGATTGTTTCTTTCAGTAAAATTACATGTAGAACAACTTAAGTTCAACAGTGTAATATATAAAAAAAATACATACACCATAAACAGGACTTGAATGCTTTGAACCCGAGTCATTTGCTTCATAACCTACGTGTACACCCATATCCACTACACCATCGAGGGCTACATGTCAGTACCTGCCAAATCCAGTAATTTTAAAATATTTATGTACCTTTGCCGTATACCATTACAATACTTATATTTGAAAGCTAACCATTTTCAGTTCAATGCTTAGCCCCAGTCACTGCAGATCAGTGTTTAACTATCTCATATGTTCTCTCCATAACTGGTGCTCTGCACTTTTGGTTTAATAATTCCCTAGAAAGCAATGTCATTGTCATTTAACAGTTGAAAAAGGTTTTATTTTTAATCTTCATATTATTTTTTTTAACATTTTTTGTATATACAGTTATGTGAGGCCAGATGTTATAAATGATTTGGCTAAGGAGAAGGAAAGGCAGCAACTGCGGGTTTGTTTTTGCCATTTTTATCATTCTACTCATTGTCAGCAAGCCACTTGCAGAAGCAGCTCATGGTGAAAGAGCTATTTTAAAAAAATTTAAAGAAAAAACTTGATACTTTTTACATATTGAATACAGTCAGGGTGCAAAGGAAATCATTTTTACAGCTTGCCATTCGGGCAAGCTGAAGCTAGCATTTACTAGCCCAGACGTCATTTTAACTAGCCCCAAAAACTTTTTGAGTAGCAGAATTGATTTCACAGTTCTTCTGTTATTCGAATTCCTGAAAAAACATCACTTACCCATCGGGCAAGTTAAAAACAGAATTTACTAGCCCGATAGCAAAATCCACTAGCTCCGGGCTATCGTACACTACTTTCTTTGCACGCTGAATACACATCTTCTTCAAAGAGATGCCCCCCTTCAAATATGATAAACTATTTCCTCACCCTTGACCTAATTTGGGTGCCAGCCTAAAGTGATACAGCATAAATCAAAATAATATATTAATTTTTATTACCTGTAACTTTACCATTCTATACATAGAAAATAATATTTACCAAGCTTAAAATTCCCCAGATCATTGCGCATAAGCATATCCTCGTATAAATGGCCCTATTGTTGCTGATAAGTCTTTTATTCTTGTTATTTTTCAGTGTTGTTGGGGTGAAGTACGGAACATTGTCCGTTGTATTTATAGGGAAGCAGGCACGTCTTTGGCAGGTAAAAAGCAAGACAATGGTGTTTAACCTAGTCTTAGGTCATGTTATGGAGAGAGAATTGGTCAGTTCCACCTTAAGTTAAATTAAAGGGTAAAATCGTGTGGTGTTATGAATGGTTATCATTTAAACAGAAGCTCTTCAGCAGTTCTTTGATCTAGCACTATTAATATTACTCAGTTTGTAACTGTAGTTGTAACTTTTGTGCCCGTGGATGAAATCCTATGGTGTGACCATTCAATAACCACTGGAACCTCTTCATTAGTACTCTTGCATGGTACTATTATTGGTAGTACATGTAGTACAATGTATGTACTACATAGGTCTTACTTTTGAGTCTGTGGATGGAATCCATCGGTATTACCATTCAAATGAAACCTTTTCAGCAGTACAATGTACTTTTGCATGATATAATTTTTTATTAAACAAGTTTGTGGATAAAATCCTATAGTTTCACCATTCATTGACAACTGAATCCTCTTCAACCATACTTTTTTCATAGTACCCATTTACATGTTATTATTTTTTCATCTGGAAGAAATTAACCCCTTGAGCAGAACTTTTGCACTGTACTACATTGTGTTTAGTTTTAAAGTGTTTACAAAGCAAAATTTGACTTTTTAGAATTAACTGGTCACTATAAACAATTCAGTGGCTAAAAAAACAAAAAATTGGGAGAGGTGTTTGAGCTGAAGGATAAAACTAGTTCTGATATTGGGAACAGAGGTATAAAACCATTATTCGCAGGAGTATCCAACTTTTAACCTGCAATGTTTATTATTTTCATGATATTGTTTTCATTTTAGATGAAGAGGAAACAGTCAGAAATTCTTTGGATGAGAACAGGCTCAGAGTCAAAGTAGATAAGTGAGTTCCATTTCTCCTTACATGTTTATCAAAGTCCATCCAACCTTCCGTAAGAGGCCATGGAATTAACTTTTTTCCAGAAATCTTGTGACCTGTTAATAGTGAGCCTAAGTAAAGACAATGTTGAGCAACTCACATCAACCAGAAGTGGTCCTTTTTTCAGTTTTAGATGGTGGTTTTGCCCAAATTTTTGGACAAATCAGTGTCTATAATAGGAAAGACACATAGAAATACAAATTTGGTAGCATCGAGGTGCTTTAAAATGAAAAAGACCTCACTTCCAGTTGACCTGCATTGCTCAAAAATGCCTTTGCTTAAGCTTGCTAATATTACATGTTTTCAAAGTGGTGCCAATTCCCGAGTCGCAGTCGTCTGGTTTTTTAACTTCACTGTGAAAAATATTGATGCTAGAAGATTGCCTGCGTGAGAAACATCAAGTCTGCATCAAAGTGATTTACCGTAAGGGGATTCTAGGAGGGGCCATCTACAGCTGTATTATATGAAATCCAAGATGACAGTTAGCGATAAATTTTTTTTCACGGAACGAGTACTGATTTTCTCATGCAAACAAGGATACTTGAATGGCCAATTTTATTTCAGATTTAACTTAACGTACTGTCATCTTTGTATCTTTTTTCGAAATTTTGGTTACTTACCAAATTGGCAGCTAATTTTAAGGAGGTTCAACTGTGTTATGATTTCTCCTGGCCCATGATCGACTGTGCTATGATTTCCCTCTGAAATGTATAATAAAATATTTTTTCTTCTTTAGGTTACTTAAGAGTGATCCAGCTCAGTTATTTGAAAAGCTTGAGATTCAAGCAAGGTACCTTTCCTTCAATATTATTTTGCGTTAGTCTGTCTGGTGTCTTGAGAATAACTTGCCTACGGTTCATGATAATACGTGATCATTATTTTCTTGTTTTTGATTTTTAAAAAAATTGTGCTTTTTGTTTTTGTTAAGGCTGTTTCAATACTTGTTTTGCCTCTAATAAGGCAAAACATAATTATTATGGTTCCTGTTTTCTCCACGAAAGGTTGAATTCAGGTCTTGGCACTAGCTTTTGAACCTTCCTATAATAATTTACAGTAATAATAACAATGTGTGTGAATCCACCGTTCATTACGTACAGCTGTATGCTCAAATCAAGAGATCAGTCTGAATTCAACAGCCGTTACTTACTCCCTCAGTAACGTCTGAATCGATCGTGCGAAAAAATCTGCATGCATGGTACAGAATTGCTTTACTTTTTGCGATAGTAATTAATTTTTAACTCAATGCAATAATTCTTCATTATTTTTTTTTGTAGTTCAATTTAACAAGTCACAGTTTGGAAAACGAGAGCAATTTTACGATAAAGATTGTTGAAATTTTTAACTCCACTCAAGAATGCGATCCGCTGAATATCAAACGACAATCTCGCTAAAGTTTCTTATAGGTATACATAATTATGCAAATAGTTTGGACAATCAGCCAATCAAAATCACTACCTGGTTTTCGGGTAGTGATGTCACTGGGCGGCATTAACAGCTGGTCGATTCAGACGTTACAAAGGGAGTAAGCGACTCGAAGTAATGTTTGAATTTTCAGGCTAACTACCGTAGTAATGGATTCAACTTTCAAATCGTCAATTCATTAATGTAATCTTTGGGGGTAATCTTGGCCCTGGGATGACTCAGTGAAGTCCATCAAGAGTTTTTTTTTTGGTTGTTGTTGTTTATAGTTATGTTTGTTTGTCAAGCAGATGATCACCAGTTTAGTCTTCAGGTTTTGAAGCATGCGTAACAAACTTGAATTTTTCTTAATTCGTAGGGAATATGTGAGAGAAGTAAAAGTTCGTCTTGTCAAATACCTAACGTCCTGTCCTCTTTCGCCAACTCATGCGAAGGAATTTTTTACTATGTTGCTTGATGAATACCAAGCTCTTTCAAAAGCGTTTGACATCCTCAGACCATTCTTCTGCAAACTGGTAAGACTTTGTTTCAATGTTTTTCTACCCAGGGCGGGTAGTTCAAAGCTGGGTTAAGATAACCCCGGGTTAATGCGTAATTTGAATTCAGATATGCAAGCTTAAAAAGCCAATTCGTTTCAATATTTTTTGTCTACAATTTGATAATTAGATATTGTTAAAAGATTAGAAGAAATTATCTGAGAAAAATGCTTTTCAATAAAAGGCAAAGAAACTGGAATGACATGTAATAACCCCAGCTAAGCACTAATCGACCTTCCAACAACTGGGCCCAGTGTTTTAACAGCTGTAATGATCAGCGGTATTTTGTATGAGTGTAAGCGTGCGCATTGGACCGCCGTGGTCAGCCATGTTAAAAATAAAAACTTGGATCCTGTTTACTAAGCTGTTTTATCCAGATCCATCGTGCTATTAGATAAAGAACATTACATGGTGTCAGAAGTCAAGTACGAACAAGAACCTCAGCCATCGATATGGCGAAGATTTGAATAAAATACAGGCCGTTTTTTTAGAGCAATCAACATAGGCGATCGTAATTCATGTCACAGGATCAGTCGATTCCTATCACGCCCGCAGGGGAAGAAAACACTGAAGAAGTACAGCATTTACAAGTTGAAGACGAAGAAAACACAGAAGAAATACAGCAACCAGTTGAAGACGAAGAAAATACACCTGAAATGGCGATGCATTTAGGTCTTCCACCTCCAGAAGCTCTCGACTTGAGTGGAGGAAACATATCAGCCAATTGGAAGAAGTTCAAACAGAAGTATACCAATTACGAAATTGCGACCGGAATAAGTTCGAAGGATAGTGCAACCAGAGTAGCAACACTTCTAACAGTTATCGGCAACGATGCTATTGATGTTTTTAACACTCTAACTTGGGACGAAGAAGGCGATGACAAAAAAATCGAAAAGGTGCTGTTGAAATTTGAGGAACACTGTGAACCCAAGNTTTTGTGGCTTTGTCGGAAATAAGTTTCTTTACCAGGGTGTTGTCCAATAAAGTCGAACCTCCACTGACGGCTACCTCTCCACACATCCACCTCTCTACAACGGCCACTTTAGTTTGTCCCGGCGGACAGGCTGTACTCTTACTTAAACCTCTCTAAAACGGCCACCTCTGCACAACCGCAACGGCCACTAAGGCGTGTCCCCAACTGCCAAAATAACCTCTCGACAATGGCCAGTTTTTTCAGCGACTAGTGAAAAGTCAAGAATGGTTATTAAATTTGATCCGTATGGCGCGCTGATGATTGACGGCGGCAATCGTATTTTGATTTTGTTTCATTTATACTGCTACAGTAAGCCTAGCGAATGTTGCGAACCTTTCTCGTTTTTTGCCTTTACCATTTTGATTCAAAACATAATTCAAGTTTTTTGCAAATTTTATCTCTATATATTATTGAAGACTGGATTATTACCATTATGGGAGACAGTAAGCATGAACTTGGCACCGTAAAGATGTTTTCCGCCCACCCCACCTCCCCCCCCAAAAAAATAAAAACGAATAGTCATATTACACCCCTACCTCCCCATAACGGCCACCTTTCTACAACGGCCTCTTTCTTCTGTCCCCAAGGTGGCCATTGTGGAGAGGTTCGACTGTTGACCCTTCCACGGTTTTTCCAACTTCTGACACGGACCAGTTGGGGAACATCTATTGACACCAGTGAGAAGCAGAAGCGGAAGAACTAAACCAATGACAAAGCGTGGGAACGTAGATTGTGATTGGTTTATCCTTCCGCTTCTGTTTCCGACTCCGACAAGTCGGAAGAAAACCGAAACGTTCTGATTCTTCTGACTCCCGATTCCGTCGCGCATATGACTCCGCTTACGACTCCGATTTTTAATTTTCACTAGGTCATAAGCGCTCTTACCACTCCAACTCTGTGGCTAGCGAAAACCAGCCTGAAGAAAGACTTTGTAGTCTCATCAGTTAGAGTGGTTCAACTCAACAACTTTTTTATCCGTTAAAGCTGTCCAGTATTGCTGAAAAAAAATCTACATAAGCTCTCCTCTATGCCATGCTCCCCCACCCCCTCCCCCAAGAGTATGCACAGTGTATATGACAACTTTTTTTCTTTGTTGACTTTAACAGGATTTGGAGCATTTGAGAGAGTTTGGTTTGAGTTGGGACCTTCTTCACAAACATCTTTTCTACACAGAAATCTACAGAGACCCAGCAGTTTATGGTAATCTTCCTGGCTTAATCACACAATTAAGGTGTGTTATAATAATAAAAACTAATTTTAGTTACATTGTAGTGTAATTGTCAGTGGTTTGATGCTTTCTGTTTTTGTCTTGTTTGTCTCAACATGTTTTGGAGAGTGACCTTCATTTGAAATAATGAAAGTTGTACCACACGATATAAAAAAGACGGCACGATAAATGCACGCTGATAAATTTACCTTCTCAAATTTCATTACCGCACTCACTTGAAAGCCAAACATTTCTACACTCCTGTGATATGGCGTGCCCGCGTGAGGGTATCAATATTCCAGAAAGAGCGTATTGTTTCAATTGATGGAGAATTTGGCATGTTTAAGACTCATCTTGATGTGATTTACGTGGTTTCGTGGCTTACTCCATGTGCGACCACCTTTCGCAAGTAGCACCTCTCATGAGAAACCACCTTTCCAGAACACCAAAATTTTGCCAATCAAATTCCTCAAGTTGGACCCTCACGTAAACGACCACCTCTTGTAAGTGGCCGCAAACACTTTTAAAGGTTAAGATTTAATTATCCTGTGTTTTTAACCTCTGGTAAGCGACCGCTCGACTCCTTGCACGATTTGTTTGTACCCTGAATGCTCTTCACTACTCAGAGTGTGTGAAGGACTTTAGTGACAAAATGGTTTTCTGATCCTCTTCTCGGAACAGATTCTCTGTTGCTCAATGTTTGTAAGCAACCACCGAAGTTTTGTCCCGGGTAGAGGGGTCACTCGCCTACCCCAGCGGCCCAGGTAGAGCCAACTTTTCCTACATTTCCCTTAAAAACTTGGCAAACAGTTTACAAGAGAAACAGTAAGTTGGCTGGGCTAGAGGCTTTTTGTGATGGTAGAGTCACCCTCCCAGCCGGGCCAATTTTCTCCATATGCAGTGTAAATTCTTTACCCTGCGTATGGGAATGCATATCTTACATATAATACAGATATCATACATGTCAATGCATAATTTGTATAACACTGTATATGGGACTGCATATCTCCTTGACGGGACAATTCCGTCAAGGCGACGCAATCAGATCGTGCGCGAGCGCTGTTTTCAGCCCTTGACTCAGGCAAAGGGGTCAATATATTTCTCATATAAGCGCTTGCTTAAGTTGACTCGGCTAGGAGGCTGACCCTTTTTCCCGGGGCAACGTTTCTCCATAATTATAAACAGGGCCTAAATCTTTGCATTTTGGGCGGTCACCTGTACGGTAAATCCTCTATTAAGCGCCCCGCCTCTAATAAGCCCTCCCCCACCCTTTTCAGGGGAAGAAACTAGCCACCCATGCCCTAATTTTTCTTCACTAATAAATGAGAGACTGTATTAATAAATCACGACTGTAAAACGTCGTGTGGACTGATCCGGGATGGTTTATTTTACCAACTGGAAGTTCGGATTTGATTCTGATCCTCGGCTTTATGACCTCCAGCCTTCTTGTACTTGAGCTTTTCCATTTTGAATTCTAGGTCTTTATGGAGAACTGATACCATCGTCTTTTCTAAATTAAATAAGCCCCCCTCTCAAATGAGAACCCCGTCTCTATTTAAGCCCCCTCGCCCCTTCAAATGGGCTTGAAACAGTAGAAGATTTACTGTAGTACCATTTAGTTGTGCCTTCTCCTCTGTCGAAAATCGTGATTGTTGGTCCGGCGGGGATTTAAACCGAGGCCTACCACTCTGGTACCTAGTCTATAGGCCATTTCCGATTTCCAAAAACCTTTACTTTCAAAACGAGGCTAAGTGTAAAACCTTTCTTCTGGGCTCGCACTTAGCCTCGCATTGAAACATAGGCTTGGAGCATCTCGAAAATTGACTATTGAGCTAACGAATCTGTTTTTTGATTTCAGATTGGGTGCGGTGGCAAGAGAGAACTTTCAACAAGATATATTTCCAAGCTTACTGCACAGGTACATGCATTGAACTTCTTTGTGAGTATTAAAGGGGTTGTCTCAAGAAATTATGCCAATTCAGATTGTGAAAACTGGCCACCAAATACAGCCGAACTTAAAATAAGCACTTCAAATAGGGAAAGAACATTTAAATAACACAGCAAATACAAAACAAGTCACGGATGGACAAAACGTAACAAGATTAAAATGGATTGCAAGTGTTGTTTTTGAAAGCTGTTCAGGCTAACAGTTTCAATGTTCATCTTTGTTGTTTGTAAATTTTAAAAATATTGTTTGGGATATATATGTGTTTGTCACTAAGCTGCTAATTTATTCAATTAATGTTTCATAACGAGCCGCTCCTTCAAGTCATTACTTTACTTGTTCATTACTCCGAGTGCCATTCTATTTTACTGTTTCTTCATGCGTACATGCATTCACATTTGTTCACATGTCTTCCTTCTATTAATATTTTGCTGATTTATGTTCGCAAGGGTTGGCGTTATTCTGGTTCACCTACCCCAAATAATTTTTACAATATTCAGTAGATTTGATGTTTTTTCTTCGTTGTTTTTGTTTTGTTTTGTTTTGTTTTGTTTTTTTTCCTTTTTTTTACCAAGATACCTTAGTTTCACCGATGATCTGACAGAAATAGAATTTTCGTGGAAGGAAAGTGAACAAGCTTTCAAACATTATAAAGAAAAACAGGTAAGGAATGTGGAGGTATGTGGTGGTAATAATATTATAGTCGACTCCTCTAATTGTGTACACCCTCAATACAGCGAGTTTATCTCCGTTGTAGCGAGAGGCGTCAAAATCGGGCGGATGCAACGAGAAATTTCAATTCCTGTCACAGTGGTCAGCGGTTTGCATCCTGTAGGCAACGACCTGTGCATTTATATGCAGTTAATGGGGTAAACAACAAAGAGCGCCGTTAATGTTTGGGGTCAGTGGTCGGTGTGTATGTGCATGCTCAGTAACTTAATACATCCTTCATGCACGTGATGTATGACTCAGACAGCGCTGATATTCACTTCGACTTGGGGGTAAACCTGTGAAACGTCTTCACTGCTTTCATTCAGCGGTCAAAGTAAACCCGAAAATGGAGCAGTGCTGGTTCTCTTCCTTGCTCCGAAAGGTTTATCTCCAGCAACTTCGGTTTTCCGCTCTCTCCCAAAACGCACAAACACTAATAACAACAAAATCTTACGAGCTCCTTAGTGTTTTTTTCACATTTTTTTTCTCTCTTACTACGTGTAGTAGCGGTATATTTATCCACAGTGAGAATGTTATGTAACCTTCAATTTGTAGGCAAAACTGCGTGAAAAAAGTGGCATACCAAAAGTGGAATGGGAGGATGATTTAACAGGGATGGAGTGGAAAAATAGGGTAGGTCTTTTATGTATAATTAGGGAGCTTAACCCAGGCGTTTTTGAGAGACGGACGTCAACCGGAAGTGAGGATTTTTCCCTTTTAATACGCCTTGACGCTATAAAATTTGTATTGCTTAATTTCTTTACGCTTTTAGAGACGATTTGACTGAAAAGCTTGGCAATACCACTGCTTGGGAATGTAAAAAGTCCACTTCCGGTTGATGTGCGTCGCGCAAAAACGCCTTCGCTTAACTTCCCTTTGGTGGTGATCGCAGCGAAAAAAGTTAAGAGAAACACTGTCAACAATTACAAAATTAATATTTCCTTTTCCTTTTTGTGTTGTAGGTGTTAAGGAAGCCAATACAGCAAAGGTAAGTTAGGGAATTTGTTTTCTCTTACAGCTTGTGTTTTGTTGACCGTAGACCACTCTACAGTCATATTGCGACAGTGTTACTACCCTGTCCTAACAAGAAGTAAAGTAAAAAAGAACCAACCGATTTCAGAAGAAATGGTGTGGCTCTTGCTAACCGTAGGAAAACGCAAGCGTGCAAGTCAAGATAAAAGTGGCGCGAAATTTTACAACTTAATACAAGACATAACATTATTAAGAGTGGCCAAGTGGGCTGCATGTCCCACTCTCAGCGCGGCAGACTGCGCTCAATTGCCGTTCTGACAACAAGATGGGTTTGTTTTGGTTATCTCATTTTTTTAATCCTTGTCCAAGCTTGAAATTAGCCAACTGGTTGCCTCCTGCCAGTTGTGGTTTTTTATCCTGTTTTTTCGTTGTTGTTGTTGTTTGCCGGATTATTCTTCGATATTAGAGTGGATTGCTTTTAAACCACGGTAGCTACAGCAGCGGAGTGCACTTCCACTCAAAAAGAGCCTTTACTGTTGATTTACAAGGCTTAACAATGGCAAGCTAGAAGAATCGTGAAGTTAGTGTCAAACCGCTAAATTATTTTTAATTTGGGTGGCGCGCAAATAAAGTTTTCGTCATCGTGAGATTGGCCTCAGGGTTTTCAGTGGACAGGGCGCTCTGATCGTATTGTTTGTCAACGGCGAGAATCAGATGATTTTGCAAATTAAGTTTTGTGAATTTAATATTTGTTGCAATAGTTTTTGAGGTCGTTTATGTTGGTCAGGAAATTAAAGTTGACAGGACTTGACCGCCACGCGCCCTTACTAGATCCTACTAGAAACCTGTGGTAAAAATTCTCTTCTGTGACTTGCATAGCACTTCTTAGCCTTAATGTTCTTATTTGTTTACTTTTGCGTTTTCCGTGTCAGACATGCACTCCCCCCAAATTAACGCTTTCAAGGCGTCTTTTGTTGATCTTTTTTTTTTCGTTTATAGGTGCCAGTGTGGCCACTGTAATGTCCCTTCTTCACCACTAAATTCACCAGTCACGTCGCTACCACCTTTTAAACCAGGAGCGTCACATTCAAAGGTATGCAACCACAGTTCTCCGTCAACTGCACGGATTAACTTACCAGGACCACTGACGGCACAGTGGACGAACCCGGTCACAGGTCCAAACTTTGATCCTCATCTGTTGATAAGTAATGACCTTCATGGTATTCCTTCCTCACAGCTGCTTCCGCCTGCTCTGATGATGAATGGTCTGGGAAAGACTTGTAACTGTCCTGCTTGTAGCGGTGGAACAACAGGGTATAGAGAAGGGGCAAAGAATACAGAGCAGGTACTCTTGGTTTGATTCTGTTCCGTGCTTGCGGGCATCTCTCATTACCGTTAATCCTCTTATAAGCTCCGCAGGGGACTTATGTATTTCAAGTACATTTGAGGGGCGCTTATTTAATTTAGTGTAAAGGGGCGCTGTAGTGTTCGTTCAAGCAAACCGAAGATGGTATCAATTCTCCACAAAGAACTAGAACGCTATAAGTGGAAGAATGTAAAACCGTCAAGTTGCAGGTCATGCAGGCGAAGTTCGGAGGCTGTTATCCACCTCGGCCTTTGGCCTTGGTGGATGACATTCTCCTCGATCTGCATCATTCTTCGCATCATACTCTGCCTTACTGGAGTCTATCATTTATTCATTTAGTTGTGAACGATAAGGGGAAGATCACGACAAAACATACGTCACTTGCACATCTCCCATAATGCACCTTATTTGCCCCCCAAAATTTTGCGTAACCTTTTAGTGTTCGTTCAAGCAAACCGAAGATGGTATCAATTCTCCACAAAGAACTAGAACGCTATAAGTGGAAGAACGTAAAACCGTCAAGTTGCAGGTCATGCAGGCGAAGTTCGGAGGCTGTTATCCACCTCGGCCTTTGGCCTTGGTGGATGACATTCTCCTCGATCTGCATCATTCTTCGCATCATACTCTGCCTTACTGGAGTCTATCATTTATTCATTTAGTTGTGAACGATAAGGGGAAGATCACGACAAAACATACGTCACTTGCACATCTCCCATAATGCACCTTATTTGCCCCCCAAAATTTTGCGTAACCTTTTAGTGTTCGTTCAAGCAAACCGAAGATGGTATCAATTCTCCACAAAGAACTAGAACGCTATAAGTGGAAGAACGTAAAACCGTCAAGTTGCAGGTCATGCAGGCGAAGTTCGGAGGCTGTTATCCACCTCGGCCTTTGGCCTTGGTGGATGACATTCTCCTCGATCTGCATCATTCTTCGCATCATACTCTGCCTTACTGGAGTCTATCATTTATTCATTTAGTTGTGAACGATAAGGGGAAGATCACGACAAAACATACGTCACTTGCACATCTCCCATAATGCACCTTATTTGCCCCCCAAAATTTTGCGTAACCTTTGTTTTTCGTTTCTCCTGGGTATTACAGCCGTCCTAAGAGAAATTGAAAACAATGCTTACGCAGAATTTTGGGGAGCAAATAAGGTGCATTATGGGAGATGTGAGGGTGGGTGTCACGTTTGTCACGCACAATTGTTTTGTCATCCTGTTGCGTAAGCTCGCTAATAATAAATTAAAGACGCCTCAATGACAGCATATATTTATTCTTCTTTCAGCCTCCGAGTGGCATGATAGTTGGCTGCCAGTGTAGTAAATGTCCCTTTCACGGCACAAAGGACCAAGAAACCAGATTAAAGAGTGACAGCAAAAACTTCACCAACCACGCATCCCCTGCGGTCCATGTACCCCCTCCTAACAACAATCACAATCACTGCCATCCACAACACATTGTACCTCCTCCCCCGACACCTCTTCATTGTCCCTTAGAGGACCCCCCTCAGGACCTCAGTGGCCTTTTACTGGACAGCAGCCTCAGGCAAATCAATTATAATGGTTACCATAACAACTTAGATGGTTGCGCGGAGGTTGATGGTGGAGAAAACAGCTTGAGTGACAGTAACAGCGAATATGAAGATGACGACGACGACGATGATGACGATGATGATGACGAAGAGGAGGAGGATGATGGCAGTAGTTGCTCCCCACGGAGAACAAGCCAGTGTTCAGGTACTTGACTGTCTACATATTATTGGCCTGGCAATGCAGCCGTCTCTCATAACTCCTTGCCGCCACCGGCGAAACAAGGAGTCCATCGTGTTTCATCCACTCGCCTCAAATTAAAAACGAGAATAATACTGAGTATGAGTTAGCATTCGCAAAGATTTTTGGGATCGCTCCGGTCAGCCAAATTGTTTTCTCTGTCGTCAGAAACAGTCCCAGAAGTCTTCGCGAAAGTTAACTCTTCCCAGTTTCCTCTTCGTCTCCAAAGGTTTTTTTTGTAATTTAATAGCTTTTATCAATTTTTCACACTTAAATAGTGAATACAAAACAAAAACACTGCAAAAAGTTAACAATTACTTTAAAACTTACGTAAAGTGAGGCGCATATGCGGGACACCCCTTCTACGAGCTTACAAATGGCAAAAATTTCTTCCATTTCTTAAAATGTGTGGTTAGTTTGTTCCGCCTGTTCGCTAATAAAGTCGTTTCTAAACTGGCAAATAGAGATATTGCTGCTGTATTCGCAGGCTAAGGTCAAAGCTGTCATTAAGCGTTGTAATCGTAACGGCTGTTGCAGCTGTGGTCATATAATGTTACGTTTTTCAAAGTGGAAAGCTAAAGGAGACAGTAGAAATACTTTGTGAAGAGTTCCAGGTGAAACTTCACTGGTTACAGCTGCTGAAAAACCTTAACGAAAGCCCTGAAGATAGTGTGTAAGTGATGTGACATCTTCAATTCCGCACCACTTTTAAATTCAATCACAAAAAATATTCGCTAAAAATGATATCTGTTGTTAGAACGAGAACTATCCTATAAAGGTAAAACAAACCTCAAGCAATATTTTTTTTTCATGCGCTGTTACAGAACTGCACTGACTACTTAAAACCCCTGTAGATCGTCAACCGGGTGATATATCTCGGCTTCGTTTTTTGCAGACGTTGATGGACTGGGGCTTGATGTGCCACCCGGGTCACCCTCGAGTGTGCGCAGTAGTGGAGATGGCAGCTCATGTGACACTCCACCTGTCAATCAATGTTCGTCATCAACAGATGATGGTAGAACAGACCGCGGCAAATACTGTGATTGTTGCTACTGTGAATTTTTTGGCCACGCTGCAGTAAGTAACTGCTAATTGATTGTCTCCAATGTAACCCTCTGATGGATCAAATCTCTTGTTATATAGCGGGAAATTTTTTTCCCAGCAGCGTGCGGTCTCGTAGGTTACTTCCATCAAGGTCACACCGCACATGACAATTTGAATGAACCTTTTTCCTACCAAAAGTCCCTGAGCGGGCAACACTGCAAAATCTGTGATGTCAGAGGGCTACAGTGCTGTGACAAATCACTTTCGTCTGTTCAACACAAACTACTCATTGTGGGGACTTTCCTCGTTGAATGGTTGTTATCTTATGTCTTTTAGCCTCCTGTAGCACCCACCAGCCACAACTACACAGAGATGCGGGATAAGTTAAGAAATCGACTCAATAAGCGACAGGTGAGATTATTTGTAGAGCCCTGAACTTCATCGAGATGTTGGAATGTTATAAAATGCTGATAAGACACTTTGCCAGTAAATATCCTGAGTGACCCCTTCACTTTCCAGTGGCGTCGCACCTCCTGGAGGGATCTACTGAAATCATTAGACCCCTATATGTTGCAGCTCTTTTCTTTTTGGGCCAAGTTCCATTGTTAACTTTGTTTTTTCATTGGTTGCCTAACCAATTCAGTGAAGCCTTATTACGGCCGCGAGTACATTTCACTTTTAAATCAAGAGTGCAGAAGTCTGACTTCAAGAAAAATCAAGTTTCATTTTAACTCATGGAAATAATGATAATAAAAAATCCAAGTGATTCCAAGCTATAGCTGCTACTGAGGTTTCGTTCAAATGGACACAACAAAGGTTTTCCTGAACAGACTAAACAGTTTAAACTACCGTCGAACATCTGTCAACATCTACCACTTCACAACGCGTACTTTTTAACGCGTGAATACGGGCACTCCAATATGCATAAGGGTCACTCTTTCATTCAGATCTACATTGATGCTCTTCATTATTAGTCGGCCCCGAACTCGAGAGCGCCCGATATCTCTAGTCAATGTTTATCGTCGTAGATCGATCTTTTCTGAAGTCCGCTGTGATAAAGTTCACTCGGCACGCATTAGGCCCAGAGTTCCTTGGAGCTGACATTACAATGATTGTGTAGTTTCAGGAAGATTAGGCGTCTTCAGTGGACTTTGAACGTTTCAGTTAAGCACCATGGCTAACTTAGAGACTGTATTTCTGTACATTTGACTTGACTCTGTAATCTTCTTTTTCCGCGAGTTGGCCACAGGCCTTCGTTGATTTGTAACGGCGGAAGGTCATCACAGTCATTAATGATAACAGTGTGTTTTGTTGCAGCCCAACCAGACGGCACAAGAAGACAAGAAAAACGCGCCTGTGGTTGATCACCGGTCAGTGGATGACCTCCTGACATTCATCAATGGGCAAGGCGTAGAAGACGAGGGGGCGCGGTCAAAATCTAAAGCGCAAAAAAGAGCGCGACAGAAACAAAAAAAGGTATAGTTACTTTTGCTTTCCTATTAAATTTATATTTATATTTTAATTGACGTTGAAGGGATTATTTATGTGCCACGGTTTGTGTTCGGCTCGGTTCGATGAAGATTAGCGGCAACACGAGAACGCGAGGAAACCTAGTTAACTTTCGCAAAGACTTCTTGAACTGTTACGATGGACAGGAAAAAAATTGACAATAGTATTTATTTATTTATGTATTTATTTATGTATTTATTTACTTATTTATTTATTTATATACCATGTACAGCCTACCCCTCACATTTTGAGGATTATTGGTATGGTTAACAGCAACAGTAACATTCCAGAAACCAGCATTTGCGGGACACATTTTGGCTTTTCGTTTCCAAAGTGGCGAACGCCAAATCATTGACTTGGGTAATTTTCACTTTATGTTTTTAGGCAGCAGAAAAAGAAAAGCAGGCCCTGAACTCGAACTATCAAAACGGTGGTAAATGTTCTTCTGCGGGTTGCGAGAAGATCAACGGTGTTCATCACGAAGGTTCCGAGAAGAAGATAAGGAACAGGCAGCTGAGTGAAGATACTCGGAAACGAGAAATGCCTGCAATGAACGATAAAAACTGTGAAGAAGGAAAGCGGGCACAGTGGAGGAAAATGGAGGAGCCTAAGCAGAAGCAAAGGGAGGACTTAAACGAGTGTTCCAAGTCACGCAAGAAGCAGAGTCAGTCGCGACAAAACATCACGGTGTCACGCCAGGATTCAAAAGAGATTAACGGCAAGGAAAATAATCTCGGCCCGCAGCGACAGACTGGGGAAAAACCGGAGAAACAGCGACAGGATTCGTTATCCCAAGTCCCGATTCCTGTGGAGATTTGCAAGGAGGATGCCCAAGATAAGTCGGATAGCAGCAGCCGGTCACAGCAGAAGAAACAGGGGAAGAAAAAGAAGAAAATGTCGCTTGGTAAATATGGAGCTTAAGACCTTAAATGGCATCATCGTTATTTATAAAGTATAACAGAAAGCATCGTACAAGATAATTTCTAACTAGCTCTTATTTTATTAAATTATTACACTTTCTCAGGCGCGATGTACATCACTACAGGAAAGTACGGCTCAGTAGCTTTCACTGTATATTATTATTCGTTATCAATGCTGCTCTGTAAATCAGAACATTCCTTCTAAAAATATCAACAAATCATATTTCATAGTTGTTCACATCCTGTATTTCCCCCTTTCAGATGACGTTTTCTTGCCCCGTGAAGATATTGAGGTAGGCTTTTTACTTTCATTCCACTTTGTTATCTTTTTGTTGTTTGTACTTTCGTTTTACATCACCCTGCTAGCAGGGCGTTTATTCTGCTTGCTCGTTTTTGGCGAACTCGAGCAAGACTCTGCTTGAATATTAAGATCTCTGTTGAGCATGTGCCGCTTTTTGTTTGGAAACAGTGTCGAACCCAGGCCTAATAACCTAACCGTGCGCTTTGTACAGCGGGCTCAGTTATGATCATCGGTTTATCAATAAACGAATGATCGCAATTTGACGAGAATACCAAGATTAAATAGTTCGGCGACTTACAAGGCTTGACGTGATTCAGGCAGAGCTTACTTTTCTCCTCCTCGATCAAGAAAAAGACAAAGAGGCTCTGCTGGCAAGGTGTGGTTGTTCTTGATAAAAACAAAAACATACACTCTTTGGTAAATATTACGCCCAGATAGTTAAAGTTTCTAAAAGTCCTTTACAGTTAACTCTCTCCAAGACGGACACCTTTGGGACCGGCACTAAGTGTCCGTCTGAGAGAGATGTCCGTCTTATAAAGAGTTAAATAAAGGGAATAAGCAAAGGCAGGGACCAACTCTAGGTGTCAACTGTTTGTCCTTTCCTGGTTGGTTATGCCATTTTAAAGGACGTTTCATACCTGTTTGGCGCGAAATTCACCGGTCAAAAATTCTACGGCTGAAGTCATGACAACTTACCAATAGGACAGTGAGTGATATTTCACGCCGCTCCCGAAATTCACCGGTCAAAAATTCTACCGGTGACTTCATGACAATTGACCCATAGGACTGTGAGTGATATTTCACGCCGCTCTCGACACAGCATATGTCAATCATTTTTTTTCTCGCGTGAATTTATAATGTGATTCAAATCCATTCAGGCAAAACAAGTCGACCTGAAACTACGTCCCTCGCTTGATCGCTGCGCGACCTCGTGCCTTGAAGCTTGCTTCCCTCACTTTTAAGAACTTATGAGAGGTAGACTTGTAGCAAGTCTAGGTGTGGAAGTCCTTGATTTTCCTTAATAATGATAAAAACAAAAACGTACACTCTTTGGGATATGTTTTGCCTAGCATAGTACACAACCAACAGCTAAATGTCGGCTTACTAATACATGACGCCGTTATTATTAAACCCGGCCTAGTCACAAGGGGCGCTTTCCATTTAACAAAAATTCTGGTTTGAATTTTCGGAAATTCCAGGTGCCAAAATGAGCGGTATATTCCGGTTGCACAGACCCGACCCAGGCCACCGCGCATTTGGTTATTGTTCTTGTAAGCAGGATACAAAACAGCGGTACTGGGGACAACAATTTTATCAAATTGAAAGGCACATTTCGGTCCGACCGATCGAAATGACCAGACCGGTCAAAGTGGACCACTTTTAAAGCTGGTCCTCCGTTCCATTTGATGTACCAACCGAATTTTACGGAATTTTGGGTTGAAGTTTTGACCTTTGATCAGAAGCCTGAAACTCGCGCTTTCCCGCACTCCCTAACGTGTGGTTACTTTTAGTATACATAGTTTATTCACTTTTTAGGGGTAACATAAATACTGGTAACCCAGTAGTTTCTATTGTAGCCCACAAATAAGACCAGAAACACGAAGACACTTTGAAAACATTTGGAAATAAACATAACAAAGTTAAGAAGCCCAACTGCCCCGAAGCAAACCAGTTGGCTATTTACAAGCGTGACCGACGAGTTAACCTCGGGACCCTCGAGAACAAATCCAGCTAGTGATTTAAAGGCGGGGGGAGGTGGAGGATTGAACCAAAGGCCCCCAGATTGCAATACCAGCGCTTTAACCGCTCAACCTCGCTGCCTCCTTTGGTGACCTTTGATGCACTAACATAATTCCTGAAATGAGCACACTCTTTCCCCCTTTAGTCATAGCTATAACAAAATTCTCAAATCTGATTGGCTATCTATTGTACTGATTTAAGCACTAATAGGACAGTACGCGCCATCATGCGCGCGCTTCAACGGTTTTTTTTTCTTCACTGCTAGCAAAAAACTCTGGGAATTTCTTGTGCTTTGATTTTAAAAAGCCTGCAAATTTTGTTATAGTCATGATTTTGATTAATTGGTAACAGAACTTCGTGTCTTCCAATTCGGTCTGTAATCATACTCGTAATAAACAAATCGGACGACCGCGTATTTTGTTTATCATTCCGTCTCGTATGATTACAGACCGAATTGGACTCAACTCAGTCCTACTACCATTATTAATGACGAATTATTAAGGACCGAGATCGGTTTGATTTGTCATTTATTTTTTTGTAGACTGACAAGCTTACCCAAATGGATGAAGCCGAGCGTGAATTGGAGGAGTTCAAAAGGTATGGAAGCTCAGAAAAGTCGTTTTAATAGTCAGGATTGACGCGTTCGTTTGGGATGCTTAAGATACATGGCCCACTGCCTATGCTGTGGTTACTGTCGTGCCTGGACATCCTTTGTGCTTCTCGTGTATTGTCGTGTATCTAGTTTACAGATCTTGCTCTTTTAGGAAAAAACAGAGTGTCTGCTAACCGTTATCGTTTTGCTTCAGGTTTTGCATGAATCTAACACCACTGGAGAGAAGGGAACGTATTCCAGTAAATGTCAACCTGAAGGGGCTCCTGGGCGGCAAGAAAAATGGTTCCTCGTAGATAATGCTCCACATTCTACCTCAGCCCCTGATCAAAGTGGGCCCCCAGGCCCGTTGATCCAGTTTTACCCGATGACCTATTTGACTAGACGAGCCACTTAAAAAGCAGCTTAAAAAAGGCGGCAGACGAAGTCTTTCATCGATGAGTTTTCATTTCAATTTAATCAAATGCACAGAGAATTATATTACCAAATAAAATGTCTATTTAGTTTCGTGAAGAATTCCACGTATCATAGTCGTAATTAGTGTAATATTATTCTTTTTTTAAAAAAACTATTTTTATCCCTGTTTACTTAACTCTCAAAATCTTTCTTCCATAATCGAAGTCGAATCCGAAGTTCTTTCGAAGCTCTTTTTTTTGCAACTTAATATTCAAATGTGTGGTCATAAAAACTGTTTTTCAGCAATTGGGAGTGGGCCATTTGCACGACGGCGCCATTTTACCGCTACGACCAGAATCCTTTTAGTTGATCAAAGCCCTAATTTGCATACGAGAGCAAACTCCTAAAGGATTCTGGTCGTAGTAGTAAAATGACGTCATCGTGCAAATGGCTTATTGCATTGAAATATGATTTGGTATTATTTGAAGGCTGGATTACCAACCGCTGTTCGGGAAATGAACCCGCGCTCCCTAGCGAGCGGCCGCGGCAATCGAGCCTATATTATTTACTATGCGAGTCAAATAAACGAAGACTCGTATATTATTTTGACAGGTCAATTGTATACTGACCAATCATCGTTAAACCTTTGTAGTTTTCTCTCGCTTGATTGGCCTTTTTCTTTGCAACACACTACAATTCCAGAAATATTTCTAGTGTTTCCGTTTTACGAGTGTCACAGTAATGGTGTATTACAAGAGAGGATAAAGCTTTATCCTCTCTTGTGTAGTATTTCCTTGAACCAACAGAAAAAAGGTGATTTGTTGTCAGAGTAATCATCGGACACCAGTAATTGGCACTTTGAGAGCAGATTTTTCGAGATTTGTTTTTTCCTTTTGTCGTGAAGAGACTCATTTTAAGATGGCGTATCAGGTTTTCGCTTTAAAAAGAAACTTTCGACCTTCCTAAGGTTATCCGTTACAACAGGTATGCGACGCATTTATCTAAAAGAAAACGGTTTCCTCCTCACTGTCTAATTTTCTCATTCACATGTATTTCTCTTTGCTTGTTGCAAATCGCAAGCGTGACTGTTGTGGGTACTGAGTTCAAGCAATTTCAGGGTTCGTCTTATAACCTAGAGAATTTTATTGCGAATTGACAGTTTAATGCGACGTGGATCTTTTCTCAAAGGTAGTCTCTCCTCAACACTTTTTTTCTTAATCTTACGGTAAAGAACAGAAGCAATGGAATTGAAATACTAGAGAAAAACGCTAGTATGACGGACCACGTGAGAGCTACTCAATTAGTAGGTCTCGACAATGTTTCAAGTCGTTTATTAAGACATCTGTGCTTTTAAGGAAATTTTCGTGGCTGGATTGACTCCTTATTTTGATGTCGCAGTCTATTTACATAGAGATCTGCCGATCTGCGGAGTTGTATTTACAGAGAAGAATGTCGGTTGGTCAGAAATTTGTCAGATAATGTGCTTGTCAAGATTCTGTGGCCCATTTTCAAGCCGGATAATGTCTCAAATGCCATTAACTCCTTTTTTAGCAAAATTAGATATTTCTTAGTTATTGCCATTCAGTCACAAATTCTTTTCAAAAAATTTCAGGCTCCTAGAAACCGAACAAAGAAAACGGTTTCCTCCTCACTGTCTAATTTTCTCATTCACATGTATTTCTCTTTGCTTGTTGCAAATCGCAAGCGTGACTGTTGTGGGTACTGAGTTCAAGCAATTTCAGGGTTCGTCTTATAACCTAGAGAATTTTATTGCGAATTGACAGTTTAATGCGACGTGGATCTTTTCTCAAAGGTAGTCTCTCCTCAACACTTTTTTTCTTAATCTTACGGTAAAGAACAGAAGCAATGGAATTGAAATACTAGAGAAAAACGCTAGTATGACGGACCACGTGAGAGCTACTCAATTAGTAGGTCTCGACAATGTTTCAAGTCGTTTATTAAGACATCTGTGCTTTTAAGGAAATTTTCGTGGCTGGATTGACTCCTTATTTTGATGTCGCAGTCTATTTACATAGAGATCTGCCGATCTGCGGAGTTGTATTTACAGAGAAGAATGTCGGTTGGTCAGAAATTTGTCAGATAATGTGCTTGTCAAGATTCTGTGGCCCATTTTCAAGCCGGATAATGTCTCAAATGCCATTAACTCCTTTTTTAGCAAAATTAGATATTTCTTAGTTATTGCCATTCAGTCACAAATTCTTTTCAAAAAATTTCAGGCTCCTAGAAACCGAACAACATAAGGTCCGCAGGACCCTCGAATTTTTATTTACTTTATCTATTTTTGTGGTGAAAAACAATACCTTAAACATCGGCACACGCAAGCTGGCACTTACAAAGGAGCCTGTTGCTCCTGACCTAAATTGTCCATACAGTATATGGCAGTACCCACCCACCCTTTGGTGACAGTACCCCCCACTCCTCACCCCTTTGGCCTTGGCACAACAGCATGAAAGTCATGTGTGCATGTGAGTGCAGAAGTCTCTTATCCGTCTCATCCGCCATATCTTTGTGGGCAACAAAACAGCCCGAAATTTTGAGTTGGTCAAGAACGGTTTGGTTTTGCTGTCTATGTGCAAAAAAATTTGACTAGTTTCTCTTCCCCAAGATTACGTCGGTAAAGTATTCAACTGCACCTCCCTGCCCCGAAACAAAATGGTCGCTCACTCAGCAGGCGATGTAATCGACCCCCCTATTTGATAACCACATAAACAAGGAGACCTCGGTTTCGAAATAGGTCAGCGTTGTGTTACACTTCCTTACTGTCGTTACTGCAACTGCTTCGAGCGGCTTCAGAGGAACTCCTTATCACAGAATGGTTTCCACACGGTTCAAGAAGCGAGTCACTGTCGTCTTGTTCGTCAGCATTCTTGTGCTAGTATGCTTTTACAAGATGCAGCGGTGGGGCAATGATCAGTTGAGTCGGGCCGCCGAACAAACCAAACATTTCTCAAGGTCAGTTCGTCTTTTTTAGTTGTCACGTACATGACTTATTTTCCCGCAATTTCTGTTTCGAATTGCGCCTGTAAAACATAGCGAAAATATCAGTGTAGGGAATTTTAAATTACTTGTCTACTGAATATAATATCGCAGTAGATCTTACTGTTTGCCTCAGAGTGGATCGGCTGTGGCTATATGGCCGGTAACTGGTCAAAGGTTTTCAAAACACTAAATGACAGGCAGTCCTGTCTTTTCTGTAAATCGCTTGACTTTTCTTAATCGACATGATAGTTTAGATCAGCTGGTTTTTTCGATTTGTGAAATTTACAGAAAAGACAGGATCAGATTGCCGGTCATTTAGTGTTTTGAAATTTTAAAAACCTTGACCGGATATAGTCACAGCGTTATAGCTAATGTTTTAAAGAACCTGTGTTTGAGAACCTGCGGTATAAGTTTTTTTATAGTTCTGCAAGTCAACATCTATATCTCCTTCCTAGATATTAAGAACCTGATTAGCCTAAAATTGCCAATAGCTACCCCAAAATAAAGAAACTTTCAGTATTGCCAGATCACTTATTAGCGGTTTTTATCGGTACAAGCGCGTATGTTACGAAACAAGAAATAGAATCAAAAGGTTCATACCGATGGAGTTTTGAGGCACCATTTCCAGAATTGTTTAGCCATTTCAGAGTCCAAAATTAATTTCCCAAACAGCTCTTTCATCTTTCATTCTACAATTTCAGTTCGCCCTTGTGGAAAAGAGAAAAAATTTGTTGCTTTTCCGGTGAGCAATCATCACCTTCTCACAAGCTCTCTTAATCGGGGTACTCGAATATCACTGAAACCTCATACAGAATCTTGACACTTAGATTTATTTTTACGAGTTTTGTTTATCGCCTTAACTGCAGAATACCCTGCCACTTTAAAGCAACCCCCTAAAAATAGGTGGATACGTGGATACTCAGTTACTACATATCCGCGTATCCACTTTGTCACTCCGAATCCGCGTATCCACGAAGTAAATATAATTTACAATAGTTACTGCGTAACTGTGTATCGGCGTATCCACTTCGATGTCTATTTGTCATTCGCAAAACCAATGAAGGTAGAAAAGCGTATTAAAGGGGATAACTGCGTATCCACGTATCGATATCCAGCTCTTTCAGGGATACAGCTTGGAAGTGGCAGGGTGTTCTGCATTTACCCGTGACAGGTCACACCCTAGTTATGCAATCGATAAGAAATCTTTAATTGGAGACGTTCTGAATTGATTTATAATGATCATTGATGGTATTGGTAATCGGTAAAATCGACACCGAACCAGTCGATATTTAACCATTTTTCATTTATCCTTCTCAAAGCCCGTTTCCGGTTTCTGCTGGTTGGGTGCAGCAGCCTCTCAGAGCCCCTACCCCATTATAGTCTATTCTACGACCAGTTACTTATAGACCCCATCTTAGTCACTTTTGTACAAATATGTAATTTTGGTGATCCCAACTTAGTCACTCTCTATTTTTATGAAATGACCCATTTTTTAGATTGAGTGAAGAACACTTTACTTTTCATCTACAGTACAAACATTCTGGTACGTTTGTTAACCATAAATATGAAGAACTGTCTTACCCCAAAAATGTGCGACCCCATTCTAGTAACTATTGAAAATGCGACCCCATTATAGTCAATCCAGTCATGAAAATGCGACCCCATCCAGCGGCGCATCCCCATTAGCCTCTTTTAAGGAAGTACCCCTCCCCCGGGTGGTCAGTCACTCGCGACTTCGTCGGTCCCTTAAATTTCGCTCGCGCCTTCGGCGCTCACTCAGTCGACTTGTGGCAGGTCTTCATTTATCCTTATTGATTCAGTTAATTATCGAAGTTATCGATGTTAATTATCGGCGCTAATGAAAGCACCGTTAGTGATTGGTACATTTTGAAACTCACTTAAGGTTGGAGGACGATTTCGATAGCTCACTGTTTGTGTACCCTTTTATATACTCCAGCTATTAGTGAAATTTCTACCCTTTTATGATCAAGAGCCATAATGTTATAATACAGTGGAAAAACCCGCGAGCGGACACCATCAGGTGTCCTTAACTGGCGCTGGCCGCATACGAGTTGAGAAAACGTGGTTTTGAGAAGGCGGCCGTAATGAGAGCTGCCCGCTTCCGC